CGACCTAAAACTCTGTGTGTATTCATTAAACAATAATTTCCCATTCTTCCCTCCTCTAACCCTTGATAGTTACCATTCTTTCTGTCTTTATGAAAATGGATATTCTAGGTGCTTCATATGAGTCAATTCACACAATATTTGTCCTTTTGTGTCTTGCTTATTCCACTTAGCATATCTTCAAAATTTATTCAAAATTCCATACATTTTGTAGCATGTACAGAATTTCCTTCCTTTTTAAAGGCTGAATATTATGCATTTATATGTATATGTCACATTTTGTTTATCCATTCATCTGCTGACAGATATTTGGGTTGTTTCAATCTTTCGGCTATTGTGAATAATACCGCTATGAAAATAGGTGTACCATATCTGTTTGAATCCCTGCTTTCAATTTTCTATTTGGCATATACCTAGAAATGGCACTGATGGATCATATAGTAATTCTATGTTTAATCGTACTTCTTTTTCATAGCAGCTACATCTCTGTTGGTAATGTCCTTTGTTGCATGTAAGTTTTAAATTTTAATGTAGTCCAATTTATCTATTTTTCCTTTTGTTGCCTGTACATTTGGCATTATAGCCAAGAAGTAAACTGCCAAATCTAATATCATGGAGTTTTCCTTCTATATTTTCTTTTAAGAGTTTTAATATTTTTAGTTCTTAAAATCATAGTTATTATAACCTCTCTGACTCAAAAATCTGGATCAATTTTGAGTCTGTTTCTCTTTTCAGTTTTCTATCTTGGCTTAAGGTCATATAACATTGTCTAATACTATGGTTTACAATTTTTACTGAAAGCTTGACATTGTGTACAAATTGTACAGTCTCCAGGTAAAAACTTCTTTTGGAAAGAAATATGTGGATTAGCGGTAGTGAAAAATCATTTTAACCAAATCAGAGATTGAGCTCAGTTGACAGCTGTGTAATACTCAGTTTTATTTCAATTCCTTTTTCCTCAAGTATACTCCTTTAGGGATTTTGCCCTAGATGATTTTCTTGATAAATTATGGCAGCTTCACTTGTTTCTCCCATATCAGGCATTGTATTAGTCTGTTTCCACACTTCTATAAAGAACTGCCCAAGACTGGGTAATTTAAAAAGGAAACAGGTTTAATTGTCTCACAGTTCCACATGGCTTGGGAGGCCTCAGCAAACTTACAGTGAGGTGGAAGGCAAAGGGGAAGCAAGGATCTTCTTCACGTGGTGGTAGGAGAGAGAAATGTAAGCAGGGAAAAATGCCAGATGGTTATAAAACCATCAGATCTCATGATGAGGCATTCACTATCTTGAGAACAGGATGGGGGAACTGCCCCCATAATCCAATCCCCTCCCTCCTCAACACATGAGGATTACAGGTCTCTCCCTCCACACATGGAGATTACAATTTGAGATGAGATTTGGGTGGAGGCACAGAACCAAAACATATTGTTCTGCCCCAACCCCACCCAAATCTCATGTCTTTTATACATCTGAACATCAATCATGCCTTCCCAACAATCCCCTAAAGTCTTAAATAATTCCAGCATTATCTTAAAAGTACAAGTCCAAAGTCTCATCTGGAACAAGGCAAGTTCCTTCCTCCCATGAGCCTGTAAAATCAAAAGTAAGTTAGTTACTTCCAAGATACAATGGGGGTACAGGCATTGGGTAAATGTTGCTTTTCCAAGTGGGAGAAATTGGCCAAAACAAAGGGGCTACAGGCCTTATGCAGGTCCAATATCCAGTGGGGCAGTTACTAAACCTTACAGCTCCAAAATAATCTCCTTTGACTTCATGTCTTACATCCAAGGCATGCTGATTTAAAGTGGAGACTCCCATGGCCTTGGGCAGCTCTGCCTCTGTGGCTTTGCAGGGTACAGCCCCACTCCTGGCTGCTTTCACAGCTGGCATTGTCTGCAGATACTGTCAATGGATCTACCATTCTGGTGCTGGAGAATGGTGGCCCTCTTCTCACAGCTCCACCAGGCAGTGCCCCAGTGGGGACCCTGTGTGGGGGGATCCAACTCCACATTTCCTTTCCACACTGCCCTAGAAGAACTTCTTCTTGAGGCTCCACCCCTGCCTCAAACTTCTAGCTGAACATCCAGTCATTTCCATACATCCTCTGAAATCTAGGTGGAAGTTTTTGAAGCTCAATTCTTGACTTCTGCGCAACTGTAGGCCGAACACCACATAGAAGCCACTGGGGCTTGGGGCTTGCACCCCCTTAAAGCAACAGTCTGAGCTGTACATTGGCCCATTAGCCGTGGCTGGGATCAGGGAACCAAGTCCCAAGAGTACAGAAAGCAGCAAGGCCCTAGGCCTGGCCCAGGAAACCATTTTCTCCTCCTAGGCCTCCAGGCCTGTTATGGGAGGGGCTGTCATGAAGATCTCTCATATTTTCCCCATTGTTCTCATTACTTATGCAAATTTCTGCAGGTAGCTTGAATTTCTCACCAGAAAATTGATTTTTCTTTTCTATTACATGGTGAGGCCACAAATTTTCCAAACTCTTATGGTCTGTCACCTCTTGAACGCTTCGCTGCCTAGAAATTTATCCTGCCAGATACCATAAATCATCTCTTAAGTAGGAAGTTCCACAGATCTCTAGAGCAGGGCCAAAATACCACCAGTCTCTTTGTTAAAGCATAGCAAGAGTGATCTTTGGTTCAGTTCTCCATCTCCATCTGAAACCATCTTAGCCTAAACTTCATTGTCCACTATCTAACATTTTGATAAAAACCATTCAACAAGTCTCCAGAAATTTCCAAACTTTCCCACATTTTCCTCTGTTCTTCTGAGCCCTCCAAACTGTTCCAACCTCTGCCTGTTACCCAGTTCCAAAGTCACTTCCACATTTTCAATTATCTTTATAGAAGTACCCACCCTTTGCAGTACCAATTTTCTGTATTAGTCCATTTTCACACTTCTATAAAGAACTGCTCGACATTGGGTAATTCATAAAGGAAAAAGATTTAGTTGACTCACAGTTATGAATGGCTGGGGAGGCCTTGAAAAACTTACAATCACAGTGGAAGGCAAAGGAGGAGCAAGGACCTTCTTCTCATGGTGGCAGGAGAGAGAAGTCCAAAAAGGGAAAAGGCCAGATGTTTATAAAATCATCAGATCTCTTGAGAACAGCATAAAAAAACTGTTCCCATGGTCCAACTGCCACTCTCCCTCAAGATATGGAGCTTACAGGTCTCTCCCTCAACACATGGGGATTCCAATTCAAGATGAGATTTGGGTGGGTACATGGAGCCAAACCATATCGGGCATACCTTACCATTTCCCAACTTGGTTTATTTCTACTGTCCACGCTTTCCTATACTGGAATAGCTGAATTAACTTCTCCAAGGTAACATAACTATAAATAAAGGAGTTGGGGCCCATCAGGCAATGTGACTCCAGAGCCCATATTCTTAAAATTAAAGTGCTTATAATGTGACAAGTATTCTGTGTAAGACAGATTAAAGCTCTCATAAGGATTTATAGGCTAACATTTATAAAATGGCTATAATAACTTAAATCTATAAAAGATTAAATGATCTAAGAAAAGAAAAAAAAAATTCAACAACTATATAATCTCTTGATTTTTCTGTTTTAGAAAATGAACTCGTACAAATAACTTCTTTAGGAAGCAAAAAAGAGCCTTAAGAAAAACTTAAAAATAAAAAACAATGGATGAATAAGTCACAGAAGGCTAAAATGGTTTAGAAATAGCTCATTGGAAATCAGTTACAAAGCTGTTGAGACCACTGGGCATCATGCCAATAATACTATTCCATTACCTCTGACCAGCCCTCTCCATGGTCCTTACCTCTTGATTGCTTTCACTGAGCACTCTGGAACTTCTGCCAGATAATAATCAAACTGTATTATATTCCTAACCTCTTTTCAAAACATTCTCTCAAATTCTGTGCCCCATCTGAAACCAAGCCCTTCCTCTAAGGAAGACACTGCTTCCTCTATGGTCCTCTTACATAACAGCAGTTTATTCACTAACATTCCTTCTGACACCCTACTGCTATTTCTGAAGCTTCATATATAAAAAAGAAACAAAATCCTTGCTCCTTAGAAGCTTGTATAGTTTGACAATACCACATTCTTCCTCTTTTATTCACTGTTACTTACTCAACTTAATTTGATCCTTTTCCTTTATTCACCAAAGACATTAGTACCTGACCCCCATATTTGTAATCTTTTTGTCTTACACGCTTGGATAATTCATCTACTGTCTTGTTTCTTCAGTTATTTACTTCCTTTCTAATAAAGGAAAGGCTACACTAAAACCTTCTATAATGTGAAATGCACATTCCTGAATACTACTTCATATTCTTTCAGTTATCTTGTTCAATTATATTCACTGCATCCCCTCCAATTATTCTTCATTTTCATCAAGATGTGCAGTACAATGACCCCTTTAACTCAAACCTTTGCCATCTTCCTTCTTTACCTGCTTTTGTATTCAGTATCTGTGATTCATCATCTCCAAAATACCGCTATAAATATCCTAAACTCTCTTGAAATATGTTTATTGTTGCTTTGTTGTTGCACATTTCTAGACATACTTCAATCTAGGAATGCTGCTGCCCCACTCCCACTGATGCCCCTCCCCAGCTGACACATATGCATCCTTTTGCACTGCTGAGGTGGCTGGCAGGTGTGACTCAGCACAGATCCTGTTGCTACTACCTCAATGAAGCACTCCAATGGGGGGAATTTCCCATTGGAATGTTATGGCCAGTGGACCAGGAACACCTCAGCTCCTGCAGCACAGCAGGTTCTCTCCCAGGAGAGCTGAGCTGTGCTTGGCCTCTTAAAATCTTCCAGAAATGAAGTCAGCCAACTGAACCCACCTTACATCACAACCAAACCCCCAAGGGCATCAAAGAAGATAAAAGCAAAAAGTCCCATCTACGGAATAGCAACTTAAATGTTGAAGGAACATCAGCCTACACAGATAAGAAATAATCAGCACAAGAACTCTGGCAACTCAAAAACCCCGAGTGTCTTCTTACCTCCATATGACTGTAGTCGTTCCTCAGCAATGATTCTTAACCAGGCTGAAATGACAAATATATAATTCAGAATATGGATAGGAATGAACATGGACATTCAGGAGAAAGTTGAAACCCAATGCAAGGATTCTAAGGAATACAATAAAATGATATAGGAGCTTAAAGATGAAATGGCCATTTTGAGAGAACGGAACTGATCTGATAGAACTAAAAAACTCACTACAATAATTTCATAAGATAATCACAAGTATTAACAGCAGAATAGATCAAGCTGAGGAAATAATCTCAGAGCTTGAAGACTATTTCTTTGAATAAACTCTGTCAGATAAAAATAAAGGAAAATGAACAAAAAGAATAAACATCTCTGAGAAACATGGGATTATGTAAAGAGACTAACTATATAACTCACCGATGTCCCTGAAAGAGAGGGAGAAAAAGTAAGTAATGTGGAAAACATATTTGAGGATATCATCCATGAAAATTTCTCCAATCTTGCTAGAGAAGCTAGTATTCAAATTCAAGAAATGCAGAGAACCTCTGTGAGATACTATACAAAATGCCCATCCCAAAGACACAAAATCATCAGATTCTCCAAGGTCGGAATGAAAAAAAAGTATTAAAGGCAGCTAGAGAGAAGAGGCCGGTCACCCACAAATGGAACTCCATCAGGCTAAGAATGGACCTTTCAGCAGAAACTATACAAGCCAGAAAAGATTGAGAGGCCTATATTCAGTATTCTTAAAGAAAAGAAATTTCAACCAAGAACTTCATATCTAGCTAAACGAGGTTTCATAAGCAAAGTAGAAATAAGAACCTTTCAGACAAACAAATGCTAAGGGAATTTGTTACCACCAGACATGCTTTACAGGAGATCCTGAAGGGAGTGCTAAACATGGAAATGAAAGACCTTTACCAGCCACCACAAAAACACACTTAAGTACATAGACCAATGACACTATAAAGCAATAACTACACAATCAAGTCAGCATAATAACCAGGTAGCAACATGATGACAGAATTAAACTTGAACATATGAGTATCAACTTTGAATTCAAATGAGTAAAATGCCCCAATTAAAAGGCGCAGAATGGCAAATTGGATAAAGAAGCAAGACGCAATGATATATTGTCTTCAAATGACCCATCTCACATGCAATGACAACTGTAAGCTCAAAGTTAAGGAATGGAGAAGAATCTAGCAAGCAAATGTAAAACAGAAAAAAGCAGGGGTTACTATTCTGATTTCAGATAAAACAGACTTTAAACAATGATCAAAAGACAAAGGACTGCGTATGGTGGCTCATGCCTGTAATCCCAGCACTTTGGGAGGCTGAGGAGGGCAGATCACAAGGTCGGGAGATCAAGACCATCCTAGCCAACATGGTAAAACCTCATCTGTACTAAAATACAAAAATTAGTCAGGTGTGGTGGTGTGCACCTGTAGTCCTAGCTACTCTGGAGGGTGAGGCAAGGGAATCACTTGAACCCAGGAAGCAGAAGTTGCAGTGAGCCAAGATCATGCCACTGCACTCCAGCCTGGTGACAGAGCAAGGCTCTGTTTCAAAAAGAAAAAAAAAAAAAGACAAAGATGGATATTACATAATGGTAAAGAGTTCAATTCAACAAGAAAAATCTAACTATCCTAAATATATATATGCTCCCAATACAGGAGCAAACAGATTCATCAAATAAGTTCATAAAGACCTATGAAAAAACTTAAGATAACCACATACGAATAGTGGGAAGTTTAAACATACCATTGACAGTACTAGACAGATCACTGAGGCAGAAAACTGACAGAGAAATTTGGACCTGCACTCAACACTTAATCAATGAACCTAACAGACTTTTACAGAACTTACCACCCCAAAACAATAGAAGATACATTCTTCTCACCTGCACATGGCACATACTGTAAAACTGGCCATATGATCAGCCATAAAACAATTATCATCAAATTAAAAAAAAAACTGAAATCATATCAACCATGCTCTTGGACCACAGTGCAATAAAAACAGAAATCAATACTAAGAGGAAACCTCAAAACCATAGTTATATAGAAATTAAACAACCAGTTCCTGAATGACTTTTGGGTAAGCAATAAAATTAAGTCGGAAATTAAGACATTCTTTGAAATGATTGAGAACAAAGATACAATATACCAGAATCCCTGAGACTGAGCTAAAGCATGCTAACAGTTTACAGTATGAATGCCCCCATAGAAAACTCAGATCTCAAATTAACAATCTATCCTCATACCTAGAGGAAACAGAAAAACAAGAACAAACTAAGCCCAAAGTTAGCAGACGAAAAGAAATAACCAAAATTACAGCTGAACTGAATGAAACTGAGACACAACAAACAATACAAAAGATCAAGGAATCCAGGAGTTGGTTTTTTGAAAGAATAAGTAAGATTATTTAAATAATCAATAAAATTATAAATAAGAACAAATACGATTATTTGAAAGAGTAAATAAGACCACAGCTAAACTAACAAAGGAAAAAGAGAGAAGATCCAAATAAACACAATTGGAAATGACAAAGGAACATTATCCCACTGAAATACAAAAAATCCTCAAGAGACTATTATGAACACATCTATGCAAACAAATTAGAACACCTAATTTGTTTAAGAAATGAATAAACTCCTGGAAACTTACAATCTCCCAAGATTGAACCAGAAAGAAATTAAAACTGTCAACAGACAAATCGTGATTCTGCAATTCAATTAGTAATACAAATCTTACCAACTAGAAAAAGGCCTGGGACAAGATTGATTCACAGCCAAATTCTATCAGATATATAAAGAAGAGCTGGTACCATTCCTATTGAAAATGTCCCAAAAAATTGAAGAGGAAGAACTCCCCAACTCATTCTATGAGGATAGCACCATCCTGATACCAACACCTGGCAGACACACACACACACACACACACACACACACACACACACACACACACAAAGGCCAATATCCTTGATGAACATTGATGCAAAAATCCTCAGCAAACTACTAGCAAATGGAAACCAGCAGCACATAAAAAAGCTAATCCATCACGATCAAGTAGGCTTTATCCCTAGGATGCAAAGCTGATTCAACACACACACACCCCAATGATTGTGATTCATCACATAATTAGAACCAAACCCAAAAACTGTATAACAATCTCAATAGATGCAGAAATGGCTTTTGATAAAATTCAGCATAGCTTCATGTTAAAAGCCTTCAACAAATAGGCATTGAAGGAATATATCTTAAAATAATGAGTCATTTATGACAAAACTATAGCCAACATCATACTGAATAGGCAAAAGTCGGAAGTATTACCCTTGAAAACCAGAGCAAGCCAAGGATGCCCGCTTTCAACATTCCCATGTAATACTGGAAGTTGTAGCTAGAGCAGTCAGGCAAGAGAAAGAAAAAAAAAAAGGCATCCAAGTAGGAAGAGAGGGAGTCAAACTATCTCTGTCCATATATGTTATGATTCTACATCTAGTAAACCCATAGTCTCTGCCCAAAAGTGCCTAGATATAACAAACTACTTCAAAAAAATTTCAGGATACAAAATCAATGTACAAAAATCAGTAGCATTTCTATCACCAAGTCCAAGCTGTGAGCCAAATCAACAACACAATTCCACATACAACAGCCACAAAAAGAATAAAATACCTAGGAATACAGGTAACCGGGGAGGTGAAAGACCTCTACAATGAAAATTACAAAACATTGCTGAAAGAAATCAGAGATGACACAAAGGGAAAAACATTCCATGCTGCAGTAACTTGGCATCACTATAAATGCATAACAGCCTTAAAATCAGAAATACATTGGTTGTATGATTTTGGATAATTTACAATCTCTTATCACTTTTTTTTTTTTTGGAGAAATAGAGTCGCACTCTGTCACCTAGGCTGGAGTGTGGTGATGTGATCATGGCTCACTGCAACCTCCACCTCCCCAGCTCAAGTGATCCTCCCACCTCAGCCTCCCAAGTAGCTGGGACTACAGGCATGTCATGTCTGATTAATTTTTTTGTGGGAACAAGGTCTCCCTATGTTGCCCAGGCTGGTCTTGAATTCCTGGGCTCAAGTGATCCTCCTGCCTTGGCCTCCCAAATCTCATTATCTTTCAGTGGGCATACTACTATCTGTTTTTCTTCATATTCACAGCTAGGGAAAACAGAATCAAATTTGAGGACAGCCAGCAAAATATGAGCTTACTGGATAAGTTTATTAGAAATTATGGCATGCTTTTTGTACTAACAAAAATAAGACTTCTTTCTGGTTTACATTCCAGTATCTTACATATAAATGATCCGCTTAGTTTAAAAAATTTTTATGCTCTATTTATTTCAATAAGCTTCTTAAAATACTTTGTCGGAATGAGGTAGATATAAGTACATACAGAAATACACAGACACACACCCCCATACACATATACATATCTTTCTATTATGGGAATTAAGTGAGATGTTTGTACAACTTATAGCAATAGCCATGGTATGTAAAACTTTTATTAGAAATATGTACTGATATTATATTGCTAGGCTTTGCTTTTAAAATAGTGAAAAATTTTGATGGATTTAAAGGATCCGTTTTCACCTTGGTTTATTAGAATGTTTGATTATATGTTAATAATGTACACAGTGTGGTATTGTAAAAAGAATTGGGCAGTCTGAGTTCTGTTTTTCATTATATATATATATGCATATATATATAATATATATTTTTTTAACAGAGTCTCACTCTGTCACCCAGGATGGAGTGCAGTGGTGTGATTTCAGCTCAATGCAACCTCTGCCTCCTGGGTTCAAGTGATTCTGCCTCAGCCTCCCGAGTACCTGGGACTACAGATGCGCATCGCCACATCCATCTAATTTTTTTATTTTTTGGTAGAGATGGGGTTTCACCATGTTGGCCAGGCTGGTCTCAAACTTCTGACCTCAAGTGGCTTGCCCACCTCAGCCTTCCAAAGTGCTGGGATTACAGGTGTGAGAGACCACACCTGGCCCTGATAAATCGTATCGAGGAAATTTCTTGTCATTTC